CCCGTGGACGTAGGCAATTTTGTGCCGAACCACGTAAATCTTGCGTGTGGAGATACAATACTAACAGGCTATGTAGATGCTGATCTAGCAGGAAATGTTGATATCAGAAAGAGCACTACAGGGTATGTATATACTCTAGGAGGTACTGCAGTGAGTTGGGCTTCTCAACTGCAGAAGATAGTTGCTCTCTCCACAACTGAAGCAGAATATGTCGCTGTTACAGAAGCCAGCAAGGAAATGGTGTGGCTTCAAAATTTCTTGGATGAATTAGGCAAGAAACAAGAAGACAATGTCTTATACTGCGACAGTCAAAGTGCTATTCATCTAGCGAAGAATCCGTCTTTTCATTCCAGAACGAAGCACATACAGATGCGGTATCATTTTATCCGGTCACTTCTGGAAGATGGAATTTTGAAGCTTGAAAAGATCAGTGGAGCTCAAAATCCGGCAGACATGCTGACAAAGACGGTGACTATTGACAAACTGAAGCTGTGTTCAGCTTCAGTTGGCCTGCAATAGTATAAAGACCGGGAAGAGCTGCTGCATAGATCGAGGTGTGAAGACAGATTAAAACCAGTCTTCAAGTGGGAGATTGTTAGTCAAAAATGGTGAGCCACCGAAAAGCTTCAAGCCACCAAAGTTGACAAACATGCAGACAATCCTCAAATCACCGAATTCGGTGAATGACAGGGGAGAAGAAAAAATTGTACGTGGGCCCCACCGGCGGGCCCCACCAGTATTAAAATATTAGTGCATAGTGTCTTTCCAAACACTATAAATAGGTCCCCAATCTCTTAAGGAAAACTCATCCCAGAAACAACTCCTCTTATAGAAGAACAAGAGAGAGAAAAGAGAGGCTTAGAGAAAAGTCTTTGTGAGAGAAAATTGTGAACAATTTTCAGAGTGGGATTGAGTTGTGAGAAAAATTGAGTGTTGTAAAATTTCTCTTCATAGTGAAAGATCTGCAGCAGCCCGTGGACGTAGGCAATTTTGTGCCGAACCACGTAAATCTTGCGTGTCCCCCAATTTTGCGCATTTAATTTTTCGCTTTCTCTCAAATCTGGCAATAAGGGAATCAGGGTAATTTTCCAACAGAGCGTTGGGTTAAAGTCCTTGAGATGATTATGTGCACTTTAACCATCATGTAGTAGTGAAATTTGCGAAATATTCATTCACGCACGGACAGTGTGAATATAAGAATGCTTGAAATTCTGAAGGGACTAGTTTCTTGGGTCAAATTGGATGAAGGAACCTATTAGGTAATCATTGAGGTATTAAGGGTGAGATTTTGTTCTTGACGTTAATTTGGACGCATGGTGTTTTGAGGGATGATAACTCTTTGATCGATGATCAAGGATATGATTTTTGCTAAAAGATGCATAGGTCCCATTGTCCCAAACTCTAGATATTAATTCTTCAAAAAAGAGATCAATTGCTAATTCAACCGCTACTTGTCAAAAGCAATCAAATCAAAATATAAACGGTCAGCATACCCCTGCCGGAAAAATCCATTCTCAAAATCTCACAACCTCAACACGTGAAACAAGAAATCGTTCCAAACATCAACAGGCCCAGGCAAACACCAATGGACGCAGTCATTGTACAATGTCACATTCTCATGAGCCCGATGCCCGTATCTACTCGGATGCCCATCCGGCCTCAACAACATCGCTTGCGTCGTATCCATCATCCTAAACTCTAATCCCCTCTTCAGCCCTTCCGTCTTTGCCTTCTCAAATTCCTCGACTTGAGCTCTATAAAGCTTAAACTCCATCTCCTCCATCTTCGTCTCATTTCCTCGAAATGGCTTCGTTCTCACACAATTCCCTCCATTGTTCCACTCCCCGTTCTCAAAGTGAGAGGGTGACAGTGTCCTCAGCATAACCATCCCCTTAAAGTTTGGCAATCTATTTATCGCCTTTAACGCGGTTCTAAAAGCCACTCGGTGAGAGTAATGAAGGGTTAAGTCAGTTACATTTGGAACTTGGCAGAAGTGACATCCGACTAGTTTCTTGTTTTCGTAGAACATGGAGGGTCTACTGAACCAATTCCCGTCGGATATGATTATGTAGTCTAAATCGTCGATTTTGGTTGACCATGCTTCGTCTGGTTCATCTAAGTATAGAGTCCAGAGAGTGGTTTGATCGTTTGGATCTTCGGATTTTACTAAAAATGGAGACCAGAAGATTGAGATTGTGAAGTTGCAGGAGGAGTAGAGCATGCGCTTGAAGTTCTCGTCCGTGGCGTTTGAGATGTCTTTCGGATATTCGACCTGCAAGCACATTGGTAATATTGTAAATGGGAGGAAAATAATAATAAATTTGTTTGTAATTGTTGTATATCAAATAAAGAGCCTCCATGCATAATAATCTAAGAATGTGTTTGAAATTTACAAATCTTCTGATATAAATCATAAGTTTTAAGCGAGATATTAGAGGTATGTCTATAAATTGTAGATGTTTAGACGTGTAACTAACCAAGCTTCTCCTCTGGGCTTGCGGCTATTTTTTTTTCTCATTTGTGAATGAGCACATGATTGTGATTTTCATAATTTGACAAATAAATGTGGCACTTACATTTCGAATTTGACATTGTAATTTTTCCAGCTTGCTCTTTTTTGGATAATGGCATATATTCTTAATTATTCCTTTTCTAATGATAAATTATATTATACTTTGATTTAATAGTAACTTTACTTATTATCATTCATTGACCTCTTAGGTGAATCAAATCAGATAGTTCCTTAGATTTTACTTTTAGTGTTCATAGTCATTTAATTATTTATAAAGTATAATTTGATAAATTATTGATTTTCTATAAAATTATCTTTTTGCGTGCGTAATATGAGCTGGGAAAACTAAGTAGAATAAATGTTACATATTTGAGTAGTGATATCTACACTACGCTCTCCTATACTATAAAAAAGAAAAGTGATGTCTCTCTTAATGGGTCATCAATTTTAAAAAAATAAAATAAAAATAGACCCATATTTTTCTCTTTTGTAGTAGTAGTGTAAGAATAGTATGGATGTAGTGGTATAGTTATCACTCTTCTATATATTTGTATATTTTGTTAGCACAACGATGCATTTGAATTTTTAAAATTGATAGACCGTTGAAATTTGAACGTCGTACTCTCGTAATCTTCCTTGATTGGCTGTAGTAAACTAAATGGGCTTGGGTGTTTGTTTTGATTTTTTTTTTGGGATTTCAAAATGGGATTTGAAATCCATAAATGATGTGGCTTTTAGGATTTGAAATCCATAAAGGGGGTTGTGTTTGCTTCAACAATATTTTGGGATTTGGAATGCTAAAACTTGTAATATTTTGTTTGTTTCATCAATATTTTGGGATTTGGAATACTATAAATTATATATTATAATATTATATAAAATTTTAATAACATATATTATATAATATATAATATATATATATATATAATATTATAGTAATATATAAATTATAATTATTTATATAATTTATATTATTTATATATATATATATTATATTATTTATATATTATTATATATATAATATAAATAATTTAATATATATATATATATATCTAAATATATATAATATATGCTACAGTAATTTACTAAACATTTACTACAGCATGCACATTGATATATAATATATATAATGTATAGTATATATAATATATAAATATATAATATAATATATATATATATATATATATATATTATATATATATATATATATAATATATATATATATTATATAATATTATATATATATATATATTATATTATATTATATATAAAAATGTATTAATATTATATATATGATATATATATTATATTATATATATATAATATATTATATCATATATTTATATTATATCTATATAGAATAATATAATATTATATATACATATTATAATAATATATCAATATATATAGTATATATAAAAATTATAATATTATTATACATATTATATATATATATAAATAATATTACTATATATATTATATTATATATATATAAAATTATATATCTTTACTATAAATTTGTTATTTTGGCGGATATATTATATTATATATGAATATATATATATATATATGTATTATGATATATTTATATTATATATATTAAATAATATAATATTAGTATCCCTATACATATTATATATATATAAATTATATAAATTAACTATTATGGTATATGCTACAGTACTAAATTTTACTACAGCAATGTATACAAGGTGATATTATGAATATTCATTTAAATATGTTATTATATATATATATATTATTTAGTACCTACATTCCTATAATAGTATATACTAGTTATTTTATTATAAATATGTAATATTATTATTATTATATATTTATATTATATTATATATAGGATTACTATGATATAATACTATACATATATAATGATAAATTATTATATATTATATATATATGCTACAGTATTGACTACAGCGATCACAGTGTGATATTAATAAAATATATAATATTTGTATATTATATATATATATATGTTATATATTGATTTATAAATAATATATAATATATATCCTATATATATAATATTATATATTATATATATTATATTATTATATATTATTTATATATATTATATTACAGTATTATATATATATATTATATATATTAATATATATATATATATAATACAATTATATATATATATATATATATATATAATATATTATTTTTATATATATAATTTAAATATTATATATAATATATATATATATATATATATATAATACAATATATATATATATATATATATATTATATTATATATATATATATTAAATTATATATATATATAGATGTATTATATTAAATATTATATTATTATAATATTATATATAATATATTAATCTTATATTAATCTTATATTATAAGCATTAATACATCAATATCCAACCCACATCCTCTCTCAAGTGTAGAATTTCACAAATGCCTAAATATAATAGTTTTTAATATTTTGGGATTTGATATCCCAAAATTGGTTTTGAAACAAACAAAGTTATCGATTTCTAAAACCTTATATCCCAAAAAAAAGATGGAAACAAGAGAGAGGATTTCACAAATCCTAATAAAATATTATTGTTTTATAATTTAGGGATTCAATATCCCAAAAAAAAAGTGAAACAAACAAAGTTATGGATTTTTAAAACCACAAAAAAGCACTTTTTACATCCCAAAACTATCATATCCCAAAAAAAAAAGCAAAACAAACACCCCCTTAACCTCAGCCCTGCCATAATTGTACGGCTAAAACTTGAAGCCCAAAACCGCAGATTGTCATAGACTACGAAAATGCCGCACATTGTCATTGACTACGAAAATGCTAACTTGTAAAATCTAAAATCTTATTTATTAGACATGGGGAGGCTAGGTTCGTTAAATAATGTATCTGCAGAAATCCAAGACCCCACTTCAAGAAACTAGAAGGGGTTCTCGTATCGTCAATGGATCAAGATCCTCTTCGCTGTGGATGGAGATAGTTATAATTTATCTTGAGTATATTTTGAACGTAAATACAATTTGTTAAAATGTTAGTTTATATTATGAATTAATCACAAACTAACATTTAAACACTATTGGGTACGTAATTACAATTAGAAAAATGGTCTCTTATGAGTTATGACCAAAATTCTGTGACAAATGCAGCAGATATTAGCCAGAGCAAAGTTATCTAACCTTAGACAAGAGGCACATCAAAGATTGCATCTGATTCCTCGCCAAAGAATCCCCAACAAAAGCCAGAGACTTCCCCCTGACAACCTCCAAGAACTGGGTAGGGTCAAAATGAACCAACTCGCACCCGTTCGGCCTCCACTTCCACTTCAAGAACCCCATGTCCGGCCTCCCATACTTGATGCAATTCTGATGTTCTTGAATCGTCCAACAAGTCATGTTCGTATAATACGGTGCATCTGAATCCTGAACCCATTCGCCTCTCGATATATCACACTCTCTATCTATTTCTAATATCGAACTGCTCGTGTTAGAGTCGGATATGATTCTAGACGAAGACGGATAAGGAAGAAGAAGAAAAGACTTGTTGCTACAGAAGAAGATGAAGGTGAGAGGTAGAAGGAGAGTAGCTGATAGGAGTAGTAGTTTTGGAATTGTTTGGAGATTGGTTAGCCAACCGAAGGGTAGTTGTTTTGTATGGAGTTTCATCGGAGAGAAATTTTTGAGGAAGAGGAGAGATTTGGACGTACAGAGAAAATAAGAAGTTGATGCTTATGTTTTTTTAGCTCTAACTTTGTTTTATGCAATAGCGTTTGTTATTGAAATGCAAGTTGTTGGTCGATAGTGGGTGGTCATGTTGTCAACTTTAACTAATTATATAAGATTCAGAGGGGATTTTTTCTAATTAAGGAAGATGCTTAATTTTAAATATGCGTCTTGATGATAAGATCTGACCTGTACATGTTTACTTCTACACGGATTCTCGCTTCTAATAAACTACCAACATGAAGATGGGACTACTATTGAGGGACTGACAGGTGGGCCCAAGGTGGAAATATGGTAACTCAATACTTTCGAGGGCACATACATAGAAAAATTAATGAACCAAATTAGGGTACTTAGACGATTTGGTTTAAGATAAAATAATGGACATTAGGTATCCTTCATTTGATGGAGGCAGGTAAAGACAATTTTTCTTGATCTGTCAATGGTCAGAAGCTTTCACGTTTCCTAGTTGAATATATGTTTAAAGTAATGATACTAATATATAAGGCCTTGCAAATGCCCATTGGGAATTTTACGGGTAGGTTCCAGTTACCTTGTTTATTAATTTTTGAAAACGATGTAGGTTATGTGAAGTCCATAGTAGAAAACTTGCGCGTATCACATCTGCATTGCTCACTTCTAGCTATGATGATCCAATCTTTCGGGAGCAAATAGAAACAAAATATACAACTTAATTCAATAGTTAAATGGGGATTGTCGAACGTTGAGAGATGGCATGACTGGCGTGAATAATATGCATGGGAGTCAGGAGGAGGATACAAATTAATCCAGTTCCATATATAATGATCTAGAATGTTTTCCGAGTAGTTAATTTTGAGATAGAAACTCTCATTCATTGATAGGATTCATATTATGAAATGTTTCTAGGACTAATTTTGGGATATAAAATATAGCAATTGTTGATGTCAGTTATCGAACAGAGGGTTTATTTAAGGATTAGTGTTAGGTTGAGGTCCTCAAGCTTCTTCAGATGACTGATTCATGAGCTTGTTGTTCCTTCCTCCGACGATCAAGTCAATATATAAACTTGAGTGGGAAAATGTGAGATAATAAAGAAGATTTCAAAGTTGCTCAAAAAGCCAGAGAGTTACCTTGAACTGCATGGCTTCGTTTTATAGTGGATCAAAAGGGCAGGTAGGTAATTTGAGTCAGTCGACTAACTCGACAGACAGCTAAAGGTGTGTCGACCACTGGTGAAGATAAGTCATCCAGCCATTTATTGTGGGGAAGACAATTGGTGCTTGGAGCAATGATGACTTTGTCAGAACAGTTAATGTGAGGGTAGTTGGTTGTCGACAGGGGGTTCGAGGACACACTAGTCGTTCGGCTGAAGGCCAACAAACACCGTCTTCCTAGTCGGCTGCACAAGTTGTCAGTCTGGAATAACAAGCCGAGTGCGAGTGTTTATAGGATCGATCAGGTGTGTAGGCCAACAAGTTCAGCTATTCTGGTCGGCTACGCAAGTTGTCGACCTATTGAGTCGGCTGAGGGCGCAACACGAGTTGTCTGGGCTCTGAACATGTCTGATTAAGCACAAGAAGCGGGACACGTGTCGACTTCTCCCAGAAGATTAACATTAGGTATAATTAGTGTGATAACAACTGGCCCCTTTTGCTCGAACTCGGGGTAGCCGAGTCCAAGTAAAATTGAACGGTAGCTTCTCAAGTTCTGAGGGGAATTTGTGAATGGTGACCGGAAAGTCTTTTCGGATGTGTTGTTGCTGACGTCAGAGCATAATTTTTGGCTGCTACCGCTTCGTCTTGTGTGTCTGGTTGCGGGCGAATTAAGGCGAGGGGTGCTTCGATTCTGGAGTAGTAGTTTTGAACTTTGGGAGTGATCTCAGCCGTTGGCTCAGAAATGGGTCGACCATCATGATTTTGACAGCTGTCGACTTAGCTGCCTATAAGTACAGCCACTGTGGTATGGGGGAGGCTACTGCTTTCGAAGACATCTTTAACCCTAACTCTAAAGAACTCTGATTCTTCATCTTTTTCTCTGATGATCCTAAGAGTAATTTTGATAGCTTCTTCAGTAGTTAAAGTCCGACACAGCTAACTGTAAAACTTTCGAAGGTGGCGCTGCCATAGTTGAGGGTATTGTATGAGAAGTTTCCTTCAGTAGTTTATTTTGACGGCGCCTGCAAAATTGCAAGCGGTTTTTGACCACGACTCTAGTAGGACCGTGGTGTACGTGAAGCATCTGGAATATGGTCTAAGTCTGCCACTGCAACCTTTCCTCCATCACGTTTTCATGGGGGCATCGCCATCGCAGATGAAGCCGAATTCAATTGCTACTCTAGTGGGATTTGTCATCATTTGTTATCGGTTGGGAGTCGAACCAACCCTAAATTTGCTCGACCACCTTGTTTGTGTCAAGGTGCATCAGCGTGAGACCCATTTCTATCTTCAGGTGTTAGGGGGATACAAGATAATCACAGACCCCTTGAGTCGAATAAGGACTGGAAGGAAAAGTTTGTATGGGTCTCTGGGGACGACTCCAATCTATGCTGCTCTAACTGGCCTGAGATTTCTAGGGAGGCTCTGAAGGCAGGGTTGTCGTCAACTACCAACAGACTTGCGCTGGAGATGATCAAGGCGTACTTCGGCTCTTGGAAGATGAAAGACTTACTTGACAACTCAATTTTGTGAGTGGTCAGTATCTCCTCTGTGCCACCTTCCGTTGAGGATGAAGCGAGGGCGGCTACACTAACCTTAGGCTTGGGGGAGGTCATAGAGGCTCCGATGGCTCTGCCTACTAAAACTCAGAGGGGTCTCAGGAAGAGCCTTCGACGAGACTAGCAAGATGCCTTTGTCAAAAATTGGCCCCTAAGGAGGCAGCGGAGGTTCGTGCTCATGCGACCCATATAGCCCCTAGATTGGCGCAGCCAAAGCCATCGATTGCTCAGGTCGAAAAGAAGAAAAGCTCGAGGAAAGTTAGTAGTCGAGGGCCCAAGAAGGTGGCTCAGACGGTGCCGATCCCCTTTTCCCAGGACGCAGATGTTTGCGTCGGAAATCGATTTCTTTGCAGAATCCATTACAATCGTTTATCGATATAACAGAATCACAAGAGTGAGCCTTTTTATAAGTCTTCTCTTTACAAAAGAAATAAAAAAAGGATTTCCTAGAAACACACGCAGAGATCGTTTATCAATCACTGCTTACGTGAGATCTTTGCCTGTGTTGGGGACACGTTAGCCCATGGACCACCGATTCATAGTTCCGGATTGATCATGAAGAAAGCTCGATGTTCTTGTTTCATTTTGGGAAAAAAAAGTAGTAGATATCTCAGCAATGTGAGATAACTATTTTTCCTGATATCAAATCAAGGTTTGAATACCGAGGAAACAACTAAATGCCTTTAGATCTTTTGAAAACTTCCTCTTTATGCACGAAGTTCGCTAAGATCTTCTTAAGTGGACGTCCACTAAGTTTCTTAGTCATTGACGATCACTTGATTGAGCTACATTGTGGATGATCCGCTCCGTGGAACTTGATCTACATATTCTAAAACCCCAACACACCAAATATGATGTGATTGGGGTGACGTCTGCAATGAAGATGTGGGAAATTCTCAACAATAAATATCTCACAAAGAGTGTTGAGAAACTCTCTCTAACTTCTCTCTTTCTCTCTCCCTCTCTTTTTGTTTTTACTCTTAATTGGAGACACTGGGATGATCAAAATTTAACGTCAGGGAGAGCTATATATAAGTGAGTTTGCGGTAGATGAGCATTGTTGCTACAGTGTTACTGTAGTAACATTTTAGTATTTTTTTTTAGTTTGTTGGTTTCTGTAGCACGGTTGGTGATTACTATAGCGAATAGATGATGCAGTAACTTTTCATCACAAAGAAACTCCAAATTACGTATTAAGATAAATTACATCTTGGGGACATAATTTATGTACGTATTATGTGAAAATTAAAGTGCAAAAAAATTACTACAATATATAGAAAGCAGAAAATTCAATAGCTAGTACATAAGCTATGATCCCTTTCTCTCAATAGCAATGACTTTGAGGTCACAATAAATAGGAAAAAAATATGCTGATCAAGCTTATATCACACATGACAGTACAAGAACTCATTATTGTGGAGAAATTTGGAAAATTCAGGTTTTTGCAGATTCTGTGTCATAAGTCGACTCATGCACAGGCATAAGTCGACTTATGGTAAGTCGACTTATACAGACTGTTAAGTCGACTTACGTTCTGCTCTGGATTGTTGGTTTTTTGCTCTGCCAAGTCGACTTATCAGGTCTGATAAGTCGACTTACGATCTGTTCTCCAGTTGTTGTTTTTCGCTCTGCCAAGTCGACTTATGCAGACTGTTAAGTCGACTTATGACGGGTTTTTTGGAAAGTTAGAGTTCCTATTTGCAGTCTGTTTGGGTTTCTGTTTTGGTATAAATACCAATACGATTTGAGGGTTTTGCAGGAGCGTTTTGGGGGATTTTGGAGCACAAAAGAGAGATCTTTCTGAGCTATTTGTTAGGGTTATTGGTTGAGAGGTTGAGAGATTTGTTGGTGAGATTAGTTGGTTCGTTGGAGCGATTTGTAATCTCAATTTGTACTCTCCTTCTCTATTAGTGGAAACCCTCCCCCTTCTTGCCCCGTGGACGTAGGCAATTGCCGAACCACGTTAAAATTGGTGTTTGGTTTGTGCATTGATATTTGGTTGTTTTTGGCCTTCTTGGATCGGCGTTTGTTTTGGTTCCTCGGCGCCGCCGTCAGCACAACAAGTGGTATCAGAGCTCGGGCTACGCTTGGGCTATTTGGAGGAGTAGATCGAGCGATTTGTAATCTCAATTTGTACTCTCCTTCTCTATTAGTGAAAACCCACCCCCTTCTTGCCCCGTGGACGTAGGCAATTTGCCGAACCACGTAAAACCTTGGTGTTTGTGTTTTGTTTGGTCTTTCTCTCGGCGTTCGTTGGTTTGGTTTCTCAAAGCATCAGTCACAACAAGTGGTATCAGAGCACGGGCAACGCTTGGGCTATTTGGAGGAGTAGATCGCTTTGGA